CTGTGCGCCCGCGGTGGGCCCAGCTTCCCCATCCCCCCCGTCCTCCTCCGGCTCGGCGCTTCGGGGCTCGTCCTCAGCTCCGCTGCGGTCCACCTCCGGCTCCGCAGGAGCTGCAGGAGCAGTCGCCGCCATTGACGCACGCGGCTCTTAACAGAACGTAATCTAAACCGAAAGCGGATCGTCTAATCTTCTCCCGCCAAATCTGACTGTAAACACAACCTCGAGGCGGACGGCGGAACAGACGTCACAGCGCCACGTCATTTTAGCGGGTCAACTCATTCTGTCCAGTATAGGTCAGTTAAAGTCCATTAAACAGCGCCATTGACTTCCAGGAAGGATGATTTTTAAATGATCTCAGATGACATGTTGTTTCCTCAGTTCAGAGAGAGTGATTGGTGATAACAACAGAATACTGACTGCATACACGGGGGAAAAAAGAATTTTGATTTGTTCTGAATCAAATTAAATATTGGAGTAAATAATCGGAATAATGTTTAAAGCCTATTTTAAATCTAAAACCATTCCTGTGCGTTCACACTTGTGGTTCGGTTCTCTTGGTTCGTGTGGTCCGGACCAAAAAAGACAACTATACATTTGGTTCTGGTCCGCTGAGCGTTCACACTGGCATTTTTGACAGCGAACCTAAAGATACCGAACCTAAAGGCACGGTGATACGTTCACAACCTGATTGGTCGGGTTGAATGACGTATATTTTGCGACGGAACTCACAGAGTACCCCCCAAAAAAGCTGTGTTCGACTTAAAGCGGTGCTGCGCAGACCGATGTATGACATCAAAGTACCCATTCAGAGATCCGTCTGCTCAACGCCGCTTTAAGTCAAACACATCTAATGCCGTCTGCTGGACTAAGCGCGCTCATTGCTGCGTGTACTTATGATTTTATTTTCACCACCTGCGAACTCACGAAGAGCTCATAAAAGCCACTTTACCTCCTCGTTGCTCCACGTTTGCCCTCTGCTCATTTTGTTTTAGATGGTACGGCTCGTTCCGCGTCGTTAAATCATGTCGCATATCGTCGCATCTTGTCATTACTTCCTGTTTTTTGTTCGTTTAGAAGTGTTTGGTCTGTGATGCGTTCATATTTCATTCGAACCGCACCAGAGTTGGTTTGGAAGCGGACCGAGAACCATCTTTTTAGCTGTCTTGGTCCGCTTGTTTGGTGCGCACCAGGGTTCGGATGGCAGCGTTCACACTCACTCAAATGAACCGCACAAACAGAGCAATCGCACCAGGGTTCATTTTAATCAAACCAAACATGACAAGTGTGAACACACCCTTAATCTCATGCCTCATTATACCTCAGAATTAATTTTCATTGTTTTGTCATCACATAGTACCATGGTACCATGAAAGACTACTGTAGTATTCTTTGAATAATTAGCTTTTGATGAATATAGCTGTTCTGCATGGCCGGACTTACCATTGTTCTTGACTGGGCTGCAGCCCATGGGCTCCGGTTTGTAGGGGGCCCTGCCTTTGCCCGTTTACGTTTTGTTTGGTTTGTTCAGTTATGCCAGTCAGAAATTATTAGCCGCATTTTTACTGCGCACACAAGGGCTAAAGGGGCCAGCCTCCAACTACGACCTTCGAAGCCATAATCAAACAGCATCAACTGGGTATTTATTGTAATATTTATATAAACTGGGTGTTTATTGTATTATAATGACTACTTAATATTACATCTAAACTTTGACTAGGCTTGACATGTTGCATATTAATTGTGTATGTGAGCCTCAAAACATATTTTAATTTCTGTGTATTTTTATGTTACTCTATAATGATGTTCTAATTGAGGGCATTTGTAGTGTATAGATATATAGCCCGAACATAACCTCCTGCCCTGCTATTCAGTATGGTAAATAGTAGACAGGGGCTAGTTGTCACACTTTTTAAAATTGTTTTATTTATTCCAGTGAAGGTTTAATTTTTGGCTACAAAACAGCTATTAACCCTAGAATGCATAAACCAAAAAAACTAAATTAAAGGGGTCATATGAAGTTGCTAAAAAGAACATTATTTTGTGTATATGGTGTAATGAAATGTGTTTATGCGGTTTAAAGTAAAAAAAAACACATTATTTTCCACATACTGTACATTATTGTTTCTCTTCTATGCCCCGCCTTTCTGAAACGCGTAGATTTTTACAAAGCTCATGGGTCTGAAAAGTGAGGTGTGCTCTGATTGGCTAGCTATCCAGTGCGTTGTGATTGGCCGAATACCTCACGCGTGTGACGGAAATGTTACGCCCCTCACCATACTGTGATGCCCTGTCCGGCCAGAGCGACGATCAGTGTTGCGAGATGGGGCCAGCTATCCAGTGCGTTGTGATTGGCCGAATACCTCACGCGTGTGACGGAAATGTTACGCCCCTCACCATACTGTGATGCCCTGTCCGGCCGGAGCCACGATCAGTGTTGCCAGATTGGGCGGGTGTTGCCAGATTGGGCGGGTTCCCGCCCAATTGGGCTGTTTTGAATTTGATTGTGCTGGTTTCAAACATATAAATTGCATAGGCTAATTGTTTAACAAAACAAGCCCAAGTATGTATACTGCATCCAATCAGTCATCATAACGTTACTACACACACAGCAGAGGTGCTGGTGCTGATGTAAACGTCGACAGACGCACTTACCACGAGGGCTCAGCAGACAGACGTTATGATTCATGAGTGACAAGTTATTAGCGTGATAAGTTATAACGTAT